CTACTTTAACATTGAACCAAGAAATTTTACAAAGATTGCCCACATCTTTCTCTTTCTGTAACAAGAATATGACACAACTCTTCTAATGATTCCTACTTATGTTATCAAATTCATTTGATAGTTCTCTTAGATAAATCTGCTTTGACTGAGAGACCTCCAATTTCAGCCACTTCGATGATTCAACAGGAAAAGATAATTGGCATGTCAAAGGCAAAGTAGCAAACTCAAGAGAGGGAAAACACGCACATAGATAATAACTGACCTTTCTTTAATAAAATATAATTGCTCGCTATCATCTGATGCGAAACCCTTTGCTGGATGTTTTGCATTCATAATATTGACAGATCCGTACATACAATGCTGTAGTTAAAAGGACTTACATAAATATCTGCAATATAATATAATGCTCAGGGCAAAGACAGTGCCTCTGTGCAAGGTCATACATGATGTTCTAATATGTTAATACATTTGTTAGTTTAAAGAAAGGATGTCAGACATCCACGATTTCTTTTTAAATATACAATGAACTGATATGACATTCATCGGTCAGAACAAGGCAGGACAGTACTGGGAAGATTTAAGGAAATGTAACTTCAAAAGGAGGCTTGCTTGTTTGAATCTAAAACAATGAAAGGTATAAAACTTCAAAAAGTCCAAGAAACACAGGCACAGTTAGAAATCAATCAGGTTGCTAATAGCTACAGTCTTCTTCAGCAAGTATAGGGAATTTTAAACTTGTATCTTTTACTGATCAATTATGCAGCTGTACACCGATTGGACATAACTTTATGACTACTGACAGATAAAGTGTGTGGCACGATCCTAGTTAGCTAGGGGAGCTCTAGTTCAATTGTTAGTGAAGAAGGCTGAGTAGCAGCCTGGGTGTGATAGCCAGGTGGGTCAAATTGCAGTTAGAGCTGAGAAGCTCTGCAGACCAGCTCTCTGAGACTTCCCCCTGCTCTGGAACTTTGGAGAAAGATCTAGAAGCAGCGGGAGGAGGGGAGGAGTGGCTGGTCTGTACTCTTAGAGGATTCTGGCCAATTCCCAACAGCAGGCTTGGCAAGAGGCCAAGACAGCCTTTAAGAGTAACTGAGCCTGTTCAGCAAGATGAGGAAGTGAGGCTGGAGAGCAGGAGCCTGGGAGGGGGCCCAGATGGAGGGGTTCACCACAGGGAGGTCTTCCTTTCACCAGACCCCAGAGAAAGGAAATAGGTTGCCCTGTGCAATCATTCCATCCTAAATATTCCACTAAAGTCCACAGTCAACTGTTAGTGGTATTATAGCAAAGTGGAAGCAACTGGGAACAACAGTGGTAGGCCATGTAAAATGACAGAACGGGGTCAGTGCATGCTGAAGCGCACAGAAGTTGCTAACTGTCTGCAGAGTCAATAGCTAAAGACCTCCAAACTTCCACCAGGTACTCTTAAGTGAGCTCTCCAGACCAAGATCCCAGATGAAACCCTACAAATAGGCCCCCAGCTATGCTACAGTTGGGACCTCGTTGAGCATACAGCAGCATTCCAATGAACTGCCCTTAAGGGCAGAACCCCCTAAGGCTAAGGACTCCTGCAGGCTTAGACCCAGGACCCTCTCCATCATTGGTGCCAAGGGCCAATATATTCCACTTGGTCATGATTCTCTTTCAACAAATGGATACATTATAAACAAAATTGTTTTGATCACTTTTTATTGTTTCCTGCACATGCATTCCTCAAACCGTGCATCTGGAAACCAAGTAAGCAATAAGCCAAGTAAACAGCATCCAAATTATGAACACAGAAAATCATATTTAACTTCTTGCCAACCGCAGATAGCCGAATGACGGCTACACTGCGGCTGGCCAGTTCTGGGTGGGCGTCATATGACGTCCTCCCAGAACGCGCTCTCCTGCGTGCCCCCGGGGGCACACACCTGGCGATCTCCGTGATTGCTGTGTCCTACGGACACAGCTGATCACGTGATGTGGTAAAAGGCCAATCACAGCGGCCTTTTACCATGTGATCAGCCGTGTCCAATGACACGCTGATCACCAGGAAATGCAATTGCCGGTTCTCGGCTGCGCTTTTCTCACGCAGTCAGAGCACGAGGAAAGTACTGCCAAGAACAGGCAGTTGTCAGAGCAGGGATCGGCACCAATCATCAGGGCACTGATGATCAGTGTCCTGATGATCGGTGCCCAGCAGTGCCACCCACCGGTTCCGCCCACCAGTGCCCAGCAGTGCCGCCCACCAGTGCCCAGCGGTGCCACCCACCAGTGCCCAGTGGTGCACCCACCTGTGCCCAGCAGTGCCACCTACCTGTGCCAAGAAGTGCCACCTACCTGTGCCCAGCAGTGCCACCCAACTGTGCCCACCAGTGCCACCCACCAGTGCCCAAAGTGCCCATCAATGCAGTGCTGCCAGTCAGTGCCACCAGTCAGTGCCCAGCGGTTGTACCAGTCAGTGCCCAGCAGTTGCGCCAGTCAATGCCTAGCAGTGCCGCCAGTCAGTGCCCAGCAGTGATGCCAGTCAGTGCCACCTATCAGTGCTGTCTATCAGTACCCATCATCAGTGCCGCCTATCAGTACCACCTATCAGTGCCGCCTATCCGTGCCACCTCATTAGTGCTGCCTATCAGTGCCGCTATCTGTGCCACCTCATTAGTGCAGCCTATCAGTGCGCCTATCAGTGCCCATCAGTGCCGCCTATCAGTGTCCATCAGTGTCCCGCCTATCAATGCCCATCAGTGCTGCCTCATCAACGCACATCAGTGAAGGAGAAAAATTACCTGTTTGAAAACTTTTATAATAGAAACAAAGAAAAAACATTTTTTTCACATTTTTTGCACTTTTTTTAGTTTATAGCGCAAAAAGTAAAGCGCCCAGCGGCGATTAAATACCACCAAAAGAAAGCTCTATTTGTGAGAAAAAAATTATAAAAATTTCATATGGGTACAATCTTGCATGACCGCGCAATTGTCAAAGTGCGACAGCGCTGAAAGCTGAAAATTGGCCTGGTAAAGAAGGGGGTATAAGTGCCCGGCACGCAAGTGGTTAAACAACCATATTTTCTCATCTAGGCAGTGAACATAGCAGGGCAGGACAGTGCCACCATACAGATTGCCTTATTTGTTTGATATAATATTTTGCCCATACATAATAATCTGTACCACAAAACTTCACTAATTACCAGCATATGGCAACACTAATGTTTTCGGAATAATTAAGCAGAAATTGTAGCATGCTGCTATGGTCCTCTCCATTACGGACCATCTTTTTTCAGAGCAGCAATAATGAGTAGCCATATTGTATGTCTTTATCATGCATACCATATTCAAGAATTGACATTTTGCTGCATTGAAAAACATGTATTTGTTCTGAGTGTCCAGATGGGCACATAACCTATGGAGTGAAAAGAGAAGTATATTTTGCCATTAATTTGTTTTTGTGACAGATGGCTTCATTATGACAGATCTTTGTCCAACACTAAATACCACCATGCCAAAGATTCAATGATTACTGTAAAAGTGAAATTATTTCTGGGTCTTTGGCTGGAATTGATAGAGATATTGATTGGCACTGTGCCTTGTGACCATGTCCATCTATCACCTTTGTTAATGGCAGGCATTCTCTGTTTAATATATAGAGTATGTAGAGTGTTGTACCGCATTGCCATCATTTAATGTAGAATGTTTGGAGTGCTGTCCTTCATTGGCTAACTTCAAATATTAACCACTTGCCCTCCAGAGGATTTACCCCCCTTCTAGACCAGGCCTTTTTTCGTGCGTTACTTTAACTGACAATTGCACAGTCATGCAACGCTGCACCCAAATGAAATTTCCGTCCTTTTTCCCCACAAATAGAGCTTTTTTCAGTGGTATTTGATCGCATGTGCGCTTTTTATTTTTTGTACTATAAACAAAAAAATGCTGACAATTTTGAGAAAAAAACAATATTTTTGACTTTTTTATTAACCTCCCTGGCGGTATGATTATTTCAGATTTTTGGTGCTGAAAGCGGCACCATTATTTTGCATGGAAATATGTAGTTTTTTATTGTAGGCTGTAATATTTAGGAATAACTCACTGAAATCTGAACAAGAGTCTAGTAAACATTCCGGATATGATAAAATTTGAAACACAAAATCATAAATTATAATTTAATAAATAATCATAAAAAAAATAATATAATAATAATAAATTTAATTCAATAATATAATCAAACCAAAAACACTGAAATTTGAAATATAGCACCAAGTTCGCACATCACTAAGCAAAGTCGCAAAATTGTTTTCAGTGTCTGATGATGAATTTCCCCACGAATCATTATCACTCAATTCTGCAAGTGGTTCTGATTTACTATCGCTGTTCTCTAGCTGGTCTGAAACCGCTTTTGACCTAAAGGGACGCTTTTTGGACGCCATGGACTTTTCTAAGTTTCCAGGCAGAAAGAACAATCAAAATGCAGACAGGCACAGGACAAAGCAGTAGGGACAAAATGTATGTGAAATGGGTTGAAACAGCAATGTTTTACTATGTAAAATTTGTTTTGAAAAAAATGACTTTTTTTTAAATTTTCAAATTTCCCGCCGCCAGCAGCGCCCGTACGTCCCGACGTCACAGGGACCGGAACACAGAAGCCGGATGCCGGCATCAGCCGGAGGAGATGGCCGGGGACGCTGCAGGGGACACATCGCGGGAGCGAAAGACAAGGTAAGTGCTGGAGGGACTCCCTATGCAACGCCGCATGGTAAGCCCAAGTGTAGCTCGGGGTTACCGCCTTTTGGTACAGAAACTTTACCCCGAGCTACACTCGGGAATACCGCCAGGGAGGTTAAACATGTCCAGTATAAAAAAATTTTAATCAAACTTCATCATGAGTTTAGGCCAAAATGTATTCTGCTACATGTCTTTGCTGAAAAAAATCTCAATACGTGTAAATGAATTGGTTTACGTGAAAGTTATAGCGTTTAAAAATCACAGTATATATACAGGATTTGTTTTTTTTAGTAATGGCAGCGATTTATAGCGGGACTGCGGTGGGCATTCTGACACTGGGGGGAACTGACTTGGCGTCACTGACATCCCCAGTGACACCAATACAGTGATCAGTGCTAATAAAAAGCACTGACACTGTACTAATGGCACTGGGCAGGAAGGTGTTAACATGCAGGGTGATCAAAGGATTAACTGTGTGCTGTTTGCTGTTTTTAATTGTGTGCTGTGTGAATGCTTTACACTGTAAGCACACTGCTTTGTATGGTTCTGCTATGCACAGCCATACAAAGCAGTGTGCAGGAGCTGACACGGGAAAGATCTGTGTTGTTTACGCACAGGTCTCTCCCCCATTGGTAATACTCAGAGATCACCGGGTGCCGGCAGGGAATCATTGGCCAGGACCCCGGTGATTGACAGCCGAAGGCAGCAAACAGTGGCGAGGGTAGGGCACATACGCACCCCCTACCCAGAACTGCAAAATCATGTATATATACGTGATTTTGCGCACCTGTGCTGCCCTGTAGCAGTATTTCTGCTATCGGGCGGTGTGGAAGCGGTTAAAGATGCACGTTTTTCTGATGCCTTGGATCCCTTATTTGAGCTTTATGGAATTTTACCATAAAGAAGGGATCTAAGGCATCCTAAGAGCATCTTTACCAACTGACAATAGCCAATAAAGGACAGCACTTAAAGTGACACTAAAAAAAGATTCAATATGTATTCTTAAAGCGGTAGTCAACTCTACTTTATCACTTGTACCCAGGGGCGGACTGACAACTCATGGGGCCCCCCGGGTAATAGGTGATCATGGGGCCCCTGTGTCCAAAAAAGCCTATAAAAAAGGTACCAGGGGCATTTCATGGGGCCCCCTACTGACCCCGGGCCCTCGGGCAGTGCCCGAATTCCCCAATGGCCCCTGCTTGTACCTACAGCTAAGCCTATAATAAGTTTTACCTGTAGGTGAATATATTCTGACTCAGATTGTTGTGATAGCGATTTATCCCTTGTGAGACCTCTCTGCTTAGCCTGTATAAGCAGATATAATCACTGTGGACAATCCTTATCAGATAGCTTGAACTCACCAATACTGTGTTCATCCAGAAGTTGCTTTATTCTGTACATGTGAAACAGGATACAGCAGAATGAATGGTTTCCAGTATTATGCGGTCAAAAGATGATAATTTCTGTAGCGTACTATGCAGAATACATGTGTCCCTGTTACACGTGGTCTGTTAGCTGCCTCCATGACACAGGAAGTGCTGAACTCAAGAAGAAGGGAGGCGCTTCATATACAAAGGAACTGTGTCATAGATCTCAGGGAGGCAATATAAAACAAATGCATTACCAAATAAGACCACTGGATGGCAGCATTACTAACTATAGAAATATCCATAGGAAATGGTACAAAAAATAAACTATATGAATTCTCATGTACATTAACATAAATATTAACTGTGTAACAGCATAGAATATCTCCGAACTTTCATTGTTTAGGAGATATTCACAGGCACAGCAGCCAGTCACCGATGCATGTACATTGCACTCTGCATTGATAGCACACTGAGTGTCCATTCATTCAGAGTGCTGTCCTGCAATCATGCCACTCCTGTGTGCATGCACCTTTCGTAGCCATTCAAACTGCTGGAAAGCGTGAACCCAGGGGGAAGACAGGGTGAAGATGGAAGCGCCAACAGTGGTGACATTGGGCTTCATTTTACAGATATTTCATAATCTGTTGTGTGCGGTGCATACTAGCACATTATGAGATGGACTTTTTTTTTTTTACAACAAAATTTACTATCATTTTAACCACTTGTCGACCTGCCTGCATGTAAGTTTACTGCAGATGGGCAGCATGCGCAGGCACCGCCGCATACCTGTACATTAGTACCTTCTTCCGGGTTCAGGGCACGCTGACTCCCGCTATGATTGGACGCAGTGTGATTTTGTCAGCAGGTTTCAGCAAATGATTCATGGCTGAGACCTGCTGATCGGCACAGCCACAGGGCTTTGTGCAGAGGGAACGATCTGTCTGTTTCTTTTCCCAGCAGCACCACTTTTCCCATTACACACAATAACACTTGTTAGGCACACACCTAACACCTTGATTACCCTGAGATGTTAACCCCTTCCCAGCCAGTGTCATTTGCACAGTGATAATGTATAGTATTATCACTGATCACTGTATTAGTGTCAGTGATGGTTAGTCTACCTCCTTTCCAGTGTTAATCAGCGTCAGATGGCCCATCGCACTATCACAGTCCCACAGTTTTATAGCAAAAGGGGAAAAAAATACCACCAAAGAAAGCTCTATTTTTGTGAAAAAGATATACATTTCATTTGGGTACAACTTTGCATGACTGCGCAATTTCCAGTTAAAATAGAGAAATGTTAAAAAGCAAAAAATGGCCTGGTTATGGGGGGGGGGGGGGGACGTTCTGCTTGTCAAGTGGTTTAAGAGGTCCTAAAGGCAGGACATTTTTTACCTTAATGCATTCCCTGTAAAAAATGTCCCATTGGTTATATCGCCCTCTAAATACTTACCTGAGCCCTACCTTGATTCAACTCTGTGCCTGAGTACAGCAGCCCTGCTCTCTGTTTCTCTCCTCACAGGACTCAGTGAGAACAGCAGGAACCTTTGGCTCCTGCTGCTGTCAATCAAATCCTGTGAGCAGGGGGCAGGGTTAAGCCACACATTGTGTATCAATAAATGCATAGAGCCCTGCTGGGGAGCGAGCCTGCAAGTGCACCCCTATAAGAAGCAACTTCCTATGGTGGCACACCAAGAAGAGTAGCCCAGAGCACCAGCAGGGGACCCTAGAAGAGGAGGTTTGGTGCCGATCTGTGCAATACCATTTTACAGTAACCATTTGCTATATATATATATATATATATATATATATATATGTGTGTGTATGTATGTTTTTTTTTATTTTTTTTTATTTTTTTTATTTATTTATATATGAGTTGGTTTAAAGTGACATTAAACAATATCCTTATTTAACAAAAAAATTCCATATACATCCACTACTTCATCCTAAAAGAAAAGTTCCAAAATGTTTGAATCCTCAATCCAAATGTTTTGAGCGCTTTTTTTGGGGGGGCGGGGAAGCTGCTACCCATTTCTGCCAGGTACCTGCACTGCAGGCTATTTGTGGATACATACACTGAGGATAATAAAATGTATGCATAGCCGCAACCTGTTTTGATTGAATAGGGAAAAGCTAAAACCTTTTTTTTTTTCTATCCGTGTCCTGTTTAGAGATTTCTCTTTACCTGGTCATCAGAATACATTCGAAGGAATCTCCCCAGTGGGGACACAGTGGCCGTACAATCACTTTAAATCCTCACAGCATCCAAAATATATTTTTTTAAATTTAGAATAGAGTTGAGGAAATGTTCAAATTACTATCAGATTCTTATATGTCTATGATCTCACTGAGGATATTTTCCTGCACTTATTGTTCATGTGATGCCTGTACAAGAAACAAGGCATGCAGTTGAAAGGCATAGGTACACTGTCATAAGCACTAACCCTGTTTTTGCCTGTGTCCTCATTGGAGAGAATTCCCAAGAGGCAGAATAGGTTTCCTGACAGTAAAGAGATTCTGTCAACACAGGGTCACTTGTATAAAAAACAAAACTGGTGAATATCTGTCATCTCTACACCCAGCCATCCACATGATGTAAAAGAAGATGCGATTCATCAGACCAGACCACCTTCTTCTGTTGCTCCAGTTCTGATGCTCATTGTAGGCGCTTTTGGCTGTGGACATGGGCCAGCATGGGCACCCAGTCTGCGACTACACAGCCCAATACACAAAAAACTGCAATATTAATTTTTTCTGCTTTCAGCACAGCAACTTCAGGGACAACACGTTCACTTGCTGCCTAATATACCCCACCCATTTTCAAATGCCATTGTGTGGTAGCACCCAGATATTGTAGAGTTCCCCTTTAAACTGTAACATTTCTAGCAACTCACTCCCCCTCCCTTATTTCCTGTGACTATTATGTACCAGCTCATAGCTGGGACCCTTATCTGCAGGTGCTGTCCAATGTTATTCTGCAGAGTTTAGAAAGCATGTTGAAAATATAGAAAGTGAGAGAGGAATGTATGTATTGTGACATAATCGTTGGTATATATGTTTGTAAGAAGTTTTCTATAACACATTTAGCAGATGAGAGCATAAGCCATCTGCTGAGTCAAAACAGTGCTGTTTTTAATAAATCATTTGTATTCCTCAACTCCATGTCCAGAGTTCTCTGGTTTGCCAAAACTGCTACTAAAATTGTAACAAGATAATCAGTGTTATTCACTTAACCTGTCAGTGGTCATAAAGCTTTGGCTGATCGGTGTACTTACTTTTCTGACAGGCCCTTATCCTAAAACACTGTTTCTTTACTGTTCTCTGGCAAATATTTAACTCTTCAGATGGATTGAATACCTGTTTCCACCCACCACATACTGAGGTTCCTCCCACTGACTTGTATATCCTGTAATGGTATATAAGCCAGCAGGGTAAAACTACTGCTTGTAGCAGGGCAACAAGATTCCATACACCTGGAAGTGTGGAATACAAGCAGCTGCCACGGAGCAGGGAAGCAGTGGTTATTCAAAACACAGGCAGCCGGAAAGGTAAGTAAATTCATGTATTTTTTTACAAGTATATTTTGTATTTCAGTGACCCTGTGCTGTCAATTTAATTACGTGTTGTCCAGGACAATTTTTTACATTTTTGTTTTGCTAAAAAAAGACTTTTAAAAATAAAATTAAATGACTGGAAAATAAAATAGTGGCTGTTGCAATTCTACACGTCACACGATATTTGCACAGCCGTATATCAAATACAAATTTTCAGGACAAAAGTATACTAAAATGAATTTTAGTGCATACAAACACAATATAATTCTCAGTTTTTGGTAAAATCTAAAAGTTGATGTTGCATCAAGCAAATAGATACCAAATATGTCAAAAGCATGCTGTAACCATTTGCTGACAAGGGCGCTGGTTGCCTCTTTTTGGGTTCTTGCAGTCAATTCTGTGATGATATATTATGTGGGTATCCCAGGAGGCTGGGGGAAACAAATATGCAATCCTTACCTAGTGAGAGACAAGGAAGTGCAGGAATGTTTTCCTTGAAAAAAATATTTTAAAAAAAATCAGATTTAGTGAGAGGAGCGGGTAGAAGGAAAATAAGAGAAGGGAGGGTAAAGGGTAACTTTAAGTGATTGAGAAATCTAAAAATAGGGGCATAAATGGAGGTAAAATAAATGATTAAGGCTCCAACCCTTTCCTTCTATATAGTCAAATATAATACAACAACATTTTAACTAAGGTTGGCCTTGATTCACTTAAAAAAAAAATCACACACTGGTATATGCAAATTAAGTAATGCTGAAGGTATAC